CTGACATCTGATAGTGAAGTGAAGGGAGGGGTGTGGGGGGCCAATAGAACACCTGTTGCATGCTGTTGCTCCTCATGCACATATCTGTTGCCTCCTCCACTGCATCCTCCACCACCTCCCGCGCTGACATCTGAAGATGGTGAAGGGAAGAGGAGAGAAGGGCGTCGGGTGGGAGAAGGTTGGGCATTGGAGGAATCCCCAAACTCATCTATTCCCCACACCGACATCTGAAGATTATTATGAAAGGGGAGCGGGGAGGGATAGGGAAGATATAAGATGGCTCGAACAAAACTCCTAAACGACTTCCCCTGACATGTGAAAACGGATCGTAAATGCTTCTACATTGAGGTGAGCTGAGAATACATGGGAGGTTGATGGGTGCAGATGAAGTGCGAGTCAAGATAACCGCTGGTCACTCACGTTTGTGCAGATAACACCAATGTATCCTGGTCTCTTCTGCTGCAGGGCGATGTGCTGCTCTGCCACCACTCTCCGACTGATCCTTGACCGCAGCCTGCAAGCACACAAATCGAAGAAAAAGTGTGCTCCAGTCTGTTCTTTAGATGATCTAAAAGGCTTGGAATCCCGAATTCTTGGTGCTCAACAGAAAACAACAGTTTTTCGTGACCGCTGCTTGCTGCCAGTCTACATGGCTGGCTGGCTGGCTCACATGTTATCGAGGAAGCTGTCGAGGTTGAGTTCTCGCCCCACCAGTGGTCGAATCGAGCACTCCCTCACACCTCGTGCCAGCACTCCTATCAGCGGCGTGTGCTCCTCCACCAGCTGTGAAGGGCAAGGGGAGGGAGACGGAATGAGGGAAGGAGATGCGAGATGAGAGGTCAGACTGACTGACACTCCCTCACCCCTCGCGCCAGCACGCCTATCAGCGGCTTGTGCTCCTCTACCAGCTGTTGGAATGAGCGGACGTGTGAAGGGGATAGAGAGGAAGGAGAAGGAGATGGGTTGTGAGAGGACAGGAGAGAGCACTCCCTCACACGCGGGCCAGCACGCCTATGAGAGGCGTGTGCTCCTCCACTAGCTGTTTAAGGGCAAGAGGGAGGGAGACCCAGGGAGGGAAGGAGGTGGGAGATGAGAGGTCAGACGGACTCTCCCTCACACATCGGGCCAGCAGCACACCTATGAGCGGCGTGCGCTCCTTCACCCACCCACTCATCACCCAACCGCCCACCCCGCAACCACCAACCATCTCTCACCAGCGCCAGCAGCTCTGTAAACTTCTCATTGTCCTCATGCGTCCGCACCTCAGGAAATGCAACCAGCAGGTCTAGCGCCCTGCGGTATGAGTCATAGACCTGGAGTTATGGGATAGAGGAAATGAAAGGGAAGAAAAGAGGACAGGACAGGGAAGGGGGAGATAATATTCAGTGAAGATGCTTAAATAATCGCACCAGGACGTTAGGAGATGCACCAACGACCACTAATGTTCACAGGACACCTTCTCATGCTGGGGTGGCATTTACAAAATGCTGACGTGGAATCTACAAACGCTGACGTGGCACCTGCTTGATGTGCGGGTTGGTGACGACAATGTAGGGCAGGAACTGCAGGTCCATGAGACGCTTGGCCAGGCGGATTGGCAGCTCGCGGTGCACAAACCTGGTGGAATCACAGGGAGAAAGGGGTTTGAGAAAGGGATTTGGGGAAGGGTAAGGCGGGGTTGGGGGGGAGAGGGGGGGATGTTGGGTGCCTGATGGTGTAAATTATGGGGTGCGGGGGAGGCTGTTTTTGAGAATTCTAAAAAACAACCGTAAATTATGGGGTGCGGGTGAGGGAGTGTTGTTACCTGGCCTGGCGGAGCAGGTAGGAGGGGTCTTTGAGGACCTGCTCTCCGAACTGCATCATGTGCTGCATCGTCGTCGCCGTCATTGGCAGCGCCGCGTATTTCTCCACCGTCACGTCGTAGAACGATGCTTTGTTAAAAGCCGACGCTTTGTTCTGCGACCAGCCGCCCGGACCGCGAGGGTACGGCAGGGAGAAACGCCGAATTCCAAAAGCCGCTGCGGCTGCAGGCCTTGGTGCGGCTGCTGCCGGTATTCCCAAGGCTTGACGTTGTTGGTACTGTCGAGATTGGTGGTGGTAATGACGGTACTGCTGTTGCTGATACTGACTGATTTGATGGTACCTAAGATGAGGACGCGATCCTGAGAACTGCTGTGTGGTGATCACGCATTTGATCACGGAATCAGCGGCAGCCGAGAACGACCAAATTGACGAATTTGCGGCGACAAGTCGCGAGCCAAGTCCCTCCCTCACCAACCCTAATGGTTCACGTGTGGGATTCTTGAACGGAGGTGTTTCGACACTGTGGGCTTCGCCTCTCGACTCGCGGTCCGCTGGCCCATCTTCGCTAAGTATTTCTGAAACATGTGTGGCAATGCCAGCTGCAATTACTTGACGTGGCGCTTCACTGTCTGTTTTAGGATTCGTTGCATTTCGTTGGTGGTCCCGTGCTGTTGTCGCGGAGATCGATAACGCAGGAGACGATACGTGGGTGAGTGCGTGAGAGAGCAACGGGTAAGCGACGCATCTCAGAATGTCAATAAGAGGCTTCGACGCGAGTGGCAGCGAGCTCCGTGAAAGATTGTGCAACGCCATGGCACAAGGTTACAGAACTCAGACCTTTTTTAATAAGTCCGGTCTTCACTTAAACTCTAGCTATGCCAGAAACATCTTCTTTGTAGTCGTGAGCTCATGAGGATGGTCACAAACGAAAATCGTTGCAAGCTCAATGATCTGTCCAGTCGTAAATGATCGCTGACGGCAATCCTGCGGTAAGCCTGTCATTACCCAGTGTTCTAAGCTCTCATTGAATCCTGTGCGGGACGGTCTGCACGCACATATCTCACGCACAGAGTAAATTTGGTGTTGGACTAATTTTGCCAGCCTTGAGAATTGCTGTCGCCCTTGAGAATTGCTGCTGTCATTTGTGCTTGGGTTGCGTGGGCTAATCCAGGCCTGGGACAGCGTGTAACGAGGTTCGACCGCGATGCCATTTGCGCGATTTTTTTTGCTGTCAGTGGTTTGGCGGGAAAGCTGGTTGTCTGACCCCGTGAACATTTGTTCCGTGCTTGGCGATCTTGGATTGGTTGCGGTAGGATAAAGTTAGCTTTTGCCCTCCCACGTCAATGGTCGGAAGCTGTCTGCACTGGGATGGTGCTGACGTGTTCCCTGACTACAATAATCATTCCTACATAATTGTGATGTTGACATAGAATGGCTGCGGTTGTATAGACAATACAGTATGATTGAATTGGAACACTCAATATCGATGCACTTTGACAGCTCTTCGCCAGCTTCCTTGTTCGGAAGAAACTGGTGGGTGCAGGTTAGGGAGTTTTTCGCCCAATCATAAGCCGTTCATAAGATAGCCGAGCCTGCAAATGAAGCTCGGATTCGTGTCTAGCAACCGTTTTCACGTGTACGATGTCGTGTGCCAAACCACTTCATAGGTTTGGAGACCAAGATTGTCGTTTGGCTGCACACATGAGGGCTCAATTGACAAAGGACACCGCCCCCAACACCCCACACTTTCCCCAACCAAACGCGTCCAAGAGAAGAACCAGATGGTTTGAAGGGCAGCCGGGCTCTCCGCGGGCCAGTAAAACTCCCCCTGTACAGGTAGACACGACCAGTTGGGTGAGGGGCAGGAAGAAATCACACCGTTGCCGCACCAGCCTTTGCCCCATGCTCCCCGCCAGGCGCGCAAAACAGCACTGAACCGTACAGAAATGGCGCTTGGAGTGCCCCGCGTGCTCCCCCTGCCCAAACCCCCTGGCCCGACCGACAACAGTGGCTGGCCATCCGCTCACCTCGCCTCGCCTCACCTCACCTCACCCCATCAACCCCACGCTGATGGCTGGTTGGTGAAGTCGCGCCTCAAAGTTGTTTTGAAGGAGTTGGCTTCAAAACGGTTGGGTAGTTTTAAAAACGTTTCGTTTAGTTATTATGACGGTTGGGTACAATTAAGGTGAAAATAACTTTTGGACCACTCGTCAATGCCGAGGTGGGGATTCAGAAAGAATTTGGATGCTGTTCGGCCATATCCGCTAACCTGGATATTCTAGTAGGTGCTTCGGTTCTGTGGCTGGAGAGGAAGTAGCAGACTCGTTAGCTCAAGTTTCGTTAGTTCTGAAGTCTCGTTGGTGAACCCGTTTAGCGTGGTTAATCGTCAGGCTAGACCGCATTCCCTGCATTTCAGCGACCTTCATTTAGGCCGATGTCATCACAGTTTTCCACATAATAGTTTCATTTTCCGCTAATCTTGGTTGCATTATATAGCCGGATCGAGCTTTCTGCTGCATTCCATTCCCCCGTGTTAGCTACGTATGACATTGATTTTTGGTAACCGACATTTTCCCAAATGCGGGTTTCCTGGCCGACATAGTTTCCTCGCCGTCGCGCCGAATGTCGCCCTTTCGAAGTCCCGCATGAGACGGCAATAGCCAGGTAAGCTCTTCGTCCGTCTGTTCCTTTCCTTTAAAAGTACAACAGACCAGCTAAATTAGCTAAAATTTACCGTGACGGAATTAATATCTTGCTGATAATCTCCGCATCCCATGTCCAGCGTTGATGGTCTTATTGAAGAAAATTGTGTTGTTTAATGTATGTCCGAAGCTAATTCATTTTATACGCTGATTAACGTCTGAAAGAGTGCTGTATATTGTATACGATTCGCGGCATTGAAAATGATATATTTTGTTTTTTGGTGAACCTGAAAGCTCTGCACTTCATATAGCGTGTAAATGCATCTCAAAAATGTGGTAAAAAAAAATAATCTCACAAGACAAATTTTGAGAGAACGAATCTTCGTATTTGTTTTCTAGCGATGTCTTGTTTCATTGTTGTCTTTCGACAAATCCGCGGACCACCTTTCACCCTGATTCCACTGAACTTCTCTACCAGCAGACGTCCACTTTCGTCTTAATCTACGCCGTCTTCCTTCTTACGACTGAACCCACGCGAAATTTCTATTTATGCCAATGGGGAGCTCAATAACTGGGTGGAACCTATCCTCTACACGTTCGCCGTCCGCCTTACAACCATCATCGACACAAGAACAGAACAGAACGCATCACTTCCGTCGAAAGCCAGCTACGGCAATGTCGTCAGTGCATGTGATGCTGGTGGCTCTATGGCTCATGACGTGGCTAGCGACAGTCGCTTTCATCCCTGCAGCACTCGCTGCAAGCCCTGACAGTGAGTCCTGCTTTCCATGCATCTGTATGTAGGGACGTGACAGCGTTTCTTGAAGCTCCCAAAAAATAACCTTGCCTGCTGTACTCGCTATAAGCAACGACATCAATTACTGCTTTCCAAAGTTCATGTATTGTCTGTAGATAAGATCATGACAGCCTCGCGTGGTACCATGGCGCGATATCATGACGAAACAGCACCCAGTCTACCCTTAACACATTTCCCTCCTTCCTTCCCCCACCTCCTCCCCTCACCGCCTTCTCCTCCACATTTCCCCTTTCCCGCTTTCCTCCCCCCACCACTCTCATGCAGCGGAGGAGCTGTTGAACCTCAAGGCGGCGTTCATGGCGTCAAATCCCACGGCGCTGCAGACAACATAGGCCCGTGCAGTGTCCCAACCCCTATTCCCCCTCTCCCTGTCCACTTCCACCCCAAATGAACCTTCCCGCCTCACTCCCCTCCCCCATACCCCCCCTTAACCCCTCTCTCGCGCAGCGGAGGAGCTGTTGAACCTCAAGGCGGCCTTCATGGCGTCAAACCCCACGGCGCTGCATTCCTTCCCAGACGACATCAACCCGTGGGGGTTCCCAACCCTTGCACATTCCCCCTTCCCTCCACCAACCCTCAATCCCCTCCCCTAGGTCCCTCCCCCTGCCTAACCCGTTGCCCGTCTTTCCCCTTTCCCCCCCTTCCAACCCCTCCTCACCCCACCTCCCATCCAGCGGAGGAGCTATTGAACCTGAAGGCTGCCTTCATGGTGTCAAGTCCCCAGGCGCTGCAGTCCTTTCCAGACGTCAATGACCCTTGCAGTGTCCCAAACCCACTCTCTTCCCCCTTCCTCTCCCTCCCCCTCCCTCTCGGCCAGCGGAGGAGCTGTTGAACCTCAAGGCGGCGTTCATGGTGTCAAATCCCCAGGCGCTGCAGTCCTTCCCAGACGACATCGACCCATGCAGTGCAGAGTGGCAGGAGAGAATCAAGTGCAACGAGCATGGCCGGATCATTGAACTGTGAGCACGATGGGTTGAGTTGTGGGACTTTTGTGGGGGGGTGTAAGGCTCTGCTACCCCCCTTCCCCCTCCTGATATCACCTTTTTGCCCCTGCTATCATCTGGCTAATGAGCTGCTGAAAGGGCCAATCCCAGGGTGACACCTGGCATGTTCAGGCACCACCAGCATGCTCATCCTTCCCTCCAACGTGTTCCCTACTGATGGCCCTTTATGTAAGGCATCTTAGAACTCGTTCGCATGCTACTATCCCTGGTTCCCCTAATTCGTGCTTCACCTGCTCCTCCTCTGCTCCTTGTCTGCTCATCCCTGTCTTCGATGCACCCATCCCTGTCTGCTCCTCCTCGTTTGCTCCTCGTTCTGCTGTCCGATTCCCACCTGCAGCAATCTCGCCAACGAGCTGCTCAAAGGGCCAATCCCGGGCCGACAGCTGGCGCAGCTGGATGCTCTAGAGCGCCTGTGAGTACTGCACGCTTCTGTATTGGGATTATTAGGGTTTGAGGCTTTGGGCTCTTTATGTGATCGACTGAAAAAGCTGCTGTGAGTAGTACACGCTTTTGTCGTGGGGAGATGAGCCTTTGAGGCTTTTGTTGCTGGGGAAGAAGGCAGGGCAAGAGATTAGGGTTTGAGAGGTTGAGGATGGAGGGGCTTTGGGACTTGAAAAGCTTTCTTATTGAATTCCTATTGGTGGAAGCTTAGGGTTCGAGACTTTGGGTTCTGATGGGACAGGCAGGGCGAGAGATTAAGGTTTGGGGGGGTTGAGGCTGGCGATTCAAGGCTTGAAGGTGAAGAGCTTGAGGCTAGGGGTTCGATTGTCAGCACGTTATGTTCTTACCTATTGGGCCACTGCTTGGCGGAAGCTGTAGAATTAAGGGTTGAGGCTTAGGGTTCTGAGGGTGCAGGCAGGGAGATGAGGGTTCGTGGTTAAGGATGGGGGATCTCCAAGACTGAAGAGGTTCAGCCCTCGCTAAACCCAAAACCCTGTCCCTTCCCCACCTCCTCCCTTTTCCACTGCAGAAATATGGGATACAACTCTCTGACTGGGCCAATCCCCAAGGATCTTGGTGCTCTCAACGGCCTCACTTTCCTGTTAGTCCCATCCCATCTACTCGTGAAAGTGCCTTATTTAAAGCCCCCACTTTCTCAGCTCCCTTCCCTACCTTGATATCGTCTCTTTTCAAGGCACCCCTTTCCAGGCTACAGCTTTGACTTCCTGGTGGCGTAGGATGCTCGTTTGTTGCACACTATTTTCGTAAACACACCTCATTGTCACCAAGATAAGCTGAGACTAGCGTGTGGGCATAGACATGCTGATACATATACACATGCATGTGGTTGGACTTGCATGTGTGCGTGTGCATCTCCATGTGTGTACATGTGTGTGCGTGTGCGTCTCCACGTGTGTACATGCGTCCGTGTGCGTCCCTGTCTATGTGCATGCATGCATCTTGATGCGTTCAGGTCATTTGAGGCGAATCAGTTGGAGGGGCCTATCCCGGATTGGATGGCGCCGCTGCTCTCACGGCTCGTTGAAATGTGGGTAACTCTCTGAAATGTATTCCTGCTGCCTCTGTGTGTGCTTCTTCCTCTGGTGTGCTTCCATCACTCCCTGTGTGCTACCCAACATTGTACTCGTGTTTCCCCCTCCCCCTCCTCGCTCCCACCAGACGCTTCGCCAACAACCAGTTCAACGGCTCTCTGCCTAGAAGACTCGCCACTCTCCGCCTCCTCCGTCGCGTATCAATCGTTTCTATTACAATCGACTCATCAGCCTACTCGTGTTTCCCCCTCCCCCTCCCCTCCCCTCCCACCAGTCGTTTCGCCAACAACCAGTTCAACGGGTCTCTGCCGAGAAGCCTCGGTACTCTCCGGAATCTAACCACGCTGTAAGGCCTGCTTGCTATCAGCTTTCATGTGCTCGTCTTGAAGATATTTATCAGCGTCAAGGCGACCTTTATCATACTTCCATTCACTGCGTTCCCCTCCCCTGCTTTCAACTCTCTCTTGTCTTGTTGCCCTGTTCCCTCTCGTATGCATACTACCTACCTCGCTTTGTTCCCCGCCGTCCCACCCATCCACCACTCCTTCCTCCCCCTTTCCCCCTTCCTCTAGGGACACGGCCAGCAACAAGGAAATAGTTCAGTGGCCTCCACGGCTAACCTTTATTCCCCACCCACCATCTTCCCACCCACCCATTCTCCCTCCCTTGCTCCTCTTCCCCCGCTTTCTTCCCCACCCTATCCAGAGACATGGGCAGCAACAAGCTCTCTGGCGAGCTACCACCACAGCTAGCCTACTGCAGTAACCTCAAACTCATGTAAGCTCGCTGCTGCTAGAATTACTCACTCCGTCGTTTTTTTCTGCTTCCTTTTCATCGCAAAACTTGTATTCTTGATTCTTACCTTCCTTCCACGCTTTCATCTCTCTTTCCTTATCTCCTCTCCCCCATCCCCCCGTTGCTACCCACACAACCACATCACTCACTTCCCTCTCCTTGCACTCCCCCTCTTTGCTCCGTGCAGCTCCTTCCTAGCCAATCAGCTGTCGGGTCCCATTCCCGAATGGTTTGGAAACCTCAAGCAGCTTAAAGCGATACATGAGGGCTCACAATTCACCTCCTCCTTCTCTCCCTCGTCCTTCTCTCGCCTTCCTTGCTCCGTGCAGCTCCTTTCCAGCCAATCAGCTGTCGGGTCCAATTCCCGAATGGCTGGGGAACCTCAAGCAGCTTGAAGTCCTGTAAGTGCCCTTCCTAGCCCAGTTAAGTGAACCCAAATCGTCGCTGGTACTTTACACATTAAGTGCTGGTACGTAACACAAAGTGCTGATACTTAGCCCAGGAATGTGCTGCAGCACTTGTACTTTCTCTCTCCATTCCTGCTGTCTGCTCTGCCATGCCATCCCAAGCCATATCTGTTTCTCTGTGTCCCTCTTCCCTCTGTGCCGCTGTCCCTCTGTTCCCCCTGTCCCCACCGTGCCCCTGCCTCCCTGTGCCCCTGTCCCTTTGTGCCCCTGTGTCCCTGCCCCCCTGCACCCGTGTGCAGGGAGATGTACACCAATGTGCTCTCAGGCCCCATCCCCCATTTTCGCAGGCCTCACACCCATGCCTCTGTGCATCTGTCCCCCTGCGCCCCCGTTCCCCTGCGCCCCTGCGCCCCTGCCCCCCCTGCACCCCTCTGCAGGGAAATGTACACCAACGTGCTCTCAGGCCCCATCCCCACGCAGCTGGCTCTTGCAGAGTCCCTCCACTCCATGTAAGCCCCATCCACGTAACCTCCCCGTACTCGCATCTCTAGTATACTTCGGGGCTGCGCCCTTCCGCTCACACTCCTCTTTGCCTAAATCATTCCCCCCCTTTTCCCCCCCTCTCTCTCTTCCCACCTTCTCCCCCTCAACCTCCTCAACTCCATTTTTTACCCCCATCAGTGCCATGGACAACAATCAGCTCTCTCCCGAGCTAGGGGACCTAACCAATCTATCCGCCATGTGGCCCCTCTCACTCCCTCATATGTGCTCTCTCTCTCTCCCTCCCTCTCCTCAGTGCCATGGACGACAACCAGCTCTCAGGGCTGCTCCCCCCCGAGCTAGGAGACCTACCCAATCTATCCGCCATGTAAGAGAATCTGTTTTACACATGTTTATTTTTCCTAGACACGTGAAGACACGTGCACCCAATCTATCTCCCGAGAATCTGTTCTACACGTGCGCAAATCCATCTCAGTTGTGTTTGTTTCTCCTCGTGTTTGCTTCTCCTAGTCGATCTTGCTCGCATCCCATCCCTCTGTTTTCTCCCTCGTGCATAACCTACGCCCGGCCCATTCACACCCTCCATTCCTTGCCATCCCTCTTTCCACACCCCCCATACCCTGTCCTCCCTTGCCCTCCTCCCCATGCCCTCCTCTTGCCCCTCATGACAGCTATGTGGTGAACAACAAGCTGGAGGGACCCATTCCGGACTCATACACATGCGCTTAAGAATCCTCCCCATGTCTTCCCGCCATGCCTCCCCCCCATGCCCTCCCCCCAATGGCAGCTACGTGGCGAACAACAAGCTGGAGGGCCCCATTCCGGACTCATACAGCAAGCTCGAGTCACTCATGTACCTGTGCGTGCTGCTCTGCTCTCTCCCTCTTGCTGCTGCGCACGGCCAGTCCCACTGCTGCTGTGCACTTAAATTAGAGCATCCACTCGCATACCTTGGCGAGATGCTGTGCATTAAAGGGCCCCATTCTGGACTCATACAGCAAGCTTGAATCACTCATGTACCTGCGCGTGCTGCTCTGCTCTCTTCCTGCTCTGCTCTCCTCCTGTTGCTGCTCTGCTCTCTCCCTCCTGCTGTTGTGCACTTGGTTCAGAGCATCCACTCACATATCTGTAGCCTGTGTGATGTGAGATGCTGTGCGTGCTGTGCACTAGAGGGGCCCATTCCGGAGTCATACGGCAAGCTTGAGTCACTCATGTATCTGTGCATGTTGCTCTCTCCATCTCGTTTCCTCGCTTCCTCCTTCCCTTCCCCAATTTTACACGTGCAGGGACGTGAGCTACAACGAGGGTATCAACGGCACTATCCCAGAATTTCTAGGGAAGATGTCACGCATCCAGTCAATGTGAGTCAAGGCAGGCAGACAGTCAATGTGAGTCAAGGCAGGGCAGACAGTCAATGTGAGTCAATGTAGCCAACCTGGCAGGCAGTCAATGTGAGTCAATGCAGTCAATGTGAATCAATGTAGCCAACCTGGCAGTCAATGTGAGTCAATGGATGCAGTCAATGTGAGTGAATGCAGTCAATGTGAGTCAATGTAGCCAACCTGGCAGTCAATGCAGTCAATGTGAGTCAATGTAGCCAACCTGGCAGTCAATGTGAGTCGATGGATGCAGTCAATGTGAGTCAATGCAGTCAATGTGAGTCAATGTAGCCAACCTGGGTCAATGCAGTCAACATGAATCAGTGCAGTCAATGTGAGTCTCTTCCCCCCCTCTCCCCTCTCCCCCCCTATCCGCAGAGCCTTTGAGTACTGCGATCTGACAGGTCCCATCCCCCCCAACCTGGGCGAGCTGCAGAACATAGTCGAGATCTTCCTCGACAACAACCAGCTCACGGGGGACATCCCTCCATCCCTGGGGCAGCTCGTGACGCTCAACAAGCTCTTCCTCAACCACAACATGCTCTCGGGCGCCATTCCTGTGGAGCTGTGTCAACTCACCAACATCTACGACCTCAATCTGGCCAGGAACCAGCTGCAGGGGACCATTCCTGCGTGTCTCACGCAGCTGCCGCACCTAGCCACTCTGTGAGTTCATCCCTCCCTCGTTACCATGCATCCCCACCCCACGGGGAGCTCTGCCAGCTCTCGGGGGACATCCCTCCGTATTTGAGCCCCCTGGGGCAGCTCGTGACGCTCAACAAGCTCTTTCTCAACCACAACATGCTCTCGGGCCAAATTCCTGTGGAGCTGTGTCAGCTGACCAACATTTATGACCTCAATCTGGCGAGGAACCAGCTGCAGGGGACCATCCGTGCGTGTCTCACGCAGCTGCCTCACCTAGCCACGCTGTGAGTAGCGTGTGAGCGTGTGAAGGTCCTGTCATGAGGGTACGGGCTGAAAGCAGGGACTAGGGCAGCTCGTGACGCTCAACAAGCTCTTCCTCAACCACACCATGCTCTCGGGAGGAATCCCACCGGAGCTATGTCAACTCACCAACATTTATGACCTGAACCTGGCCCGGAATCAGCTGCAGGGGACTATTCCCGCGTGCCTCACGCAGCTGCCGCACCTAGCCACACTGTGAGTCCATCCATCCCTCTCCACCATTCATCCCAATGGAGATCTGCCAGCTCACGGGGGGGGCATCCCTCCCTCTCTGGGCCAGGCCAGCCCGTCCCTGGGGCAGCTCGTGACGCTCAACAAGCTCTTTCTCAACCACAACATGCTCTCGGGGGCATCCCACCTGAGCTCTGCCAACTCACCAACATTTATGAGCTTAAGATGGCGAGGAATCAGCTGCAGGGGAGCAGTAACAACGCATCATACTATGAGTACAGCTGCAACTGCCTTGACAGCGTGCCGTGCCTCCCTCCCTGCTTCTGCTCTCTTCCCTGCCTCTGCTGTTCCCTTCCCTACCCCTGCTCCCCCCTCTTACCCCTCACAACAGCACCCTCTCGATGAATCTCCTCACCGGTCCAGTCCCAGACGTCAGCAGCACCAACGCCGTCAACTTTGAGTACAACGGCAACTGCCTTGACAACGTGGCTCCCCCCCTCCCTGCCTTGGCTCCCACCCTCTCTCTCCCCTCACCACAGGACTCTCTCAATGAACTTGCTCACCGGTCCAGTACCAGACGTCAGCAGCACCAACGCGGTCAACTTTGAGTACAATGGCAACTGCCTTGACAACGTGCCAGACCAGCAGGACGTCTGCGCCGCTCCCACCACTACTCCTCCCTCCACAGACGGGACCCCCCCGCCCACAGACGGCACCTCCCCTCCCACGGACGGAACCCCCACTGATGGGACCACTGCAAATCCCCCCACTGCTGACGGCACCACTACTGACGGAAGCAGCAGTGGTGGCGGCGATGCTGCTTCTCAGGAGTCTCCTCCTCCTCCATCCGATGCTGCTGCTGCTGCTGCCGCGGTCCCTACCCCTCCCCCGCCTCCCCCAGCCAACCAAGGTGCGTGCAGCTCCTCTGATCAACGGCTAGCAGCAGTAATATTGGTAGTAATAGCGATGCTGCTTCTAAAGAGTCTCCTCCTCCTCCTTCCGAGACTGCTGTTGCTGCCGCGGTCTCTCCCCCTGCTGCTCCCATGGCGGCCCCTGCTTGCTCCCCTCTCCTCCCCTTCCCTCCACGTGTTACCTTCCCTGATCCTTCCACTTCCATCCCACACCACTCCCATTTTCCACCTCTGCAACTACTTTTGAGGAACCAAAGAAACCTTCATGTTTGCTCTCCTCTCCTCCCCTCCCCTTCCACTCCCAAACCGCCCGCAGGCTCCACCCCAGCAGCAACTTTTGAGGCACTTCGGAAAACCTCATATTTCCTCTCCTCTTCCCCCCTCCGCTCCCATTCCACACTGCTTCCAGGATCCACCCCTGCAGCAAATATTCACAGGTACCTCAAAACGATCACGTTTGCTCTCTTCTCTTCCCCTCCCCTCCCTTCCCCTCCCATCCCACGCGACACCGCTCCTCCCAGGATCCACCCCAGCAGCAGCGTATGTGCTGCTGGGCTTTTTTGTCATCTTCTTCAGCATCCTCTTTATAGTGGCCTTCATTTGCAACGTGAGGAGCTCTGGAACCTCCTCCTCCAATCGCCCAGACCAATGTACGTCCCCACTTTTCCCTCTCCCCCCTTTCCCCGACATCCCCTGCCCTTCTTCCCTCCTTCCTCTCTCCCCCTCCTCTTCTCCCTTCTCTTCTCCCTCCTCCTCTCCCTCCTCTCCCTCTCCTTCCCCTGCTCTCTCTCCCTCTCTCTCCCTCATCACTCCAGGATCAACGCCAGTGCCTGGCATTATCACCATTTTTGTCTTCACGACTGCCCTACTCACTCTCATCGCCGCTGCCTTCTACCTCAGCTACCGCCAGAAGCACTCTGACGGTGGTAACCGCGCCGACCAGTGTAGGTGGCATGGGCCTTGTTGATTGGGACTTGAGTCAGAGTGTGATCTGAGAAGCCACTTGTCTCTCTGCCCTCACTGCCCTCACTGCTCTCACTGCTCTCACTGCCCTACTCGCTCTCATCGCCGCTGCCTTCTACCTCAGCTACCGCCAGAAGCACTCTGACGGTGGTAACCGCGCCGACCAGTGTAGGTGTACTGACCCTTCCCACCTGCTTGAGTCGTTGAGGTCTGACTCGAGAGGGCTGACATAATAACCATTGCAATCTTCACGACTGCTCTCCTTGCTCTCATCGCTGCGGCCTTCTACCTCAGCTACCGCCAGAAGCACTCTGACGGTGGTAACCGCGCCGACCAGTGTAGGTGTACTGACCCTTCCCCCCTGCTTGAGTCGTTGAGGTCTGACTCGAGAGGGCTGACATAATAACCATTGCAATCTTCACGACTGCTCTTCTTGCTCTCATCGCTGCGGCCTTCTACCTCAGCTACCGCCAGAAGCACTCTGTCGGCGATAACCGCGCTGACCAGTGTATGTGGAGCTGGGCCTTGCTATCCCCGGAATGAATCTCTGTAAGTCTGACTGACTCTGGCTTGAGAAACCCCTCATGTACGGACGGGGCAGCTTGGGCATGGTGTACCCTGCAGTTCAGCTCACGCACCGGCTTTGCCCCCTTTTATCGTCTTCTCGTACCCCAACCATGCGTGCAGTGCCAGTGACCGAATACAGCCTGTCAAAGATCAACAAGGCCACGCGCAACTTCACCACCATCTACGGCCGCGGCAGCTCAGCTCAGACTGCAGTGTTGTTCCCTCTCCTCCCCGTTTCCTCACCATGCAGTGCCAGTGACCGAGTACAGCCTGTCAAAGATCAACAAGGCCACGCGCAACTTCACCACCATCCTTCCACGTTCTCCCCTCCTTCCCCTTCTCCACACCATGCGTGCAATGCAGTGCCAGTGACAGAGTACAGCCTATCAAAGATCAAGAAAGCCACTCGCAACTTCACCACCATCTACGGTCGCGGCAGCTTTGGCATGGTTTACCTTGCAGAGGACTTTTTCCGAGACCAGAGTGATCCGCGCGCCATCATCAAGCGAGCGCACGACCCGCAGAGTGAGTATTTTCTGCCTGGTGCATGCATTGCTGAGCTGAGGCATGGAAGGGGGCACACACAGCTTTGGCATGGTTTACCTTGCAGAGGACTTCTTCCGAGACCAGAGTGACCGCGAGCCATCATCAAGCGCGCCCACGACCCGCAGAGTGAGTGCTATGTTTGGTCCATGCATGTACAGACTCGCGCAGGGCTAAGGCACCGCCTCCTGCACACAAGGTATGTTTTTGGCATGGAGCCAGGGACACCCAGCTTTGGCATGGTGTACCTTGCTGAGGACTTTTTCCGGGATCAGTCTGACCCGCGGGCCATCATCAAGCGAGCGCACGACCCGCAGAGTGAGTATTTTCTGCCTGGTGCATGCATTGCTGAGCTGAGGCATGGAAGGGGGCACACACAGCTTTGGCATGGTCTAGCTTGCAGAGGACTTCTTCCGGGACCAGACTAACCCACAGGCTATCACTAAGCGAGCCTACAACCCGCTGAGTGAATCTCCCCACAATGCAGAGCTGGGCGAGTTCTTATTCAAGTGCCAGGTGGAGGTGCTGGCGAGGGCACGGCATCGCTACCTGGTGAACCTGCTGGTGGGGTACCGCACTGAACCCACCTCCTTCCTACCACTTACTCTCCCCTCCCATGCCCTTCCCTCATCACAGAGCTGGGTGAATTCTTATTCAAGTGCAAGGTGGAGGTGCTGGCGAGGGCCCGGCATCGCTACCTGGTGAACCTGCTGGGGTACTGCATGGGGTACCACACTGAACCTATCTGTCTTTTCCACCCCACTGAATCTTCTCTCTTACTCAATCCCCATTGCCTTCTCCTGCAGAGCTGGGTGAATTCTTATTCAAGTGCAAGGTGGAGGTGCTGGCGAAGGCGTGGCACCGCTACCGCTGTCCCTTCCTTGTGATGCCTGGGGTACCGCGCTGAACCCTCCAGGCCCTCCTGCTCATCTCTTATTGTCCCCTCCCATCCTTCCTTGCACAACATATTAATCGCAGAGTTAGGTGAATTTCTGTTCAAGTGCAAGGTGGAGGTGCTGGCGAGGGCACGGCATCGCTACCTCGTGAACCTGCTGGGGTACTGCGTTGGCAAGGGCGAGCGCATCCTCGTTTATGAGTACCTCTCTAACGGCACGCTCTTCGACCGCCTGCACAGTGAGTGTAGTTTGAAGAGTACCTTGTTGTTGGTACTCTTGTTTTGGGCATGGGCAAGTGCATCCTCGTTTATGAGTACCTCCTTAATGACACGCTCTTCAACCGCCTGCATTGTGAGTGTATACTCGTTTACAGAGTATGTCCTTAGTGGTGCTCTTATCAATGGACCTTAAGTTCCACGGTACACATTTTTTGCACTGCAACATCTCCACTCCTCCCCGCCACCTTCCCTCCTTGTCTCCCTCCCTCTCAACCCTCCAGGGCCGGAGCTGGAGCCCCTCCCGTGGGAGACGCGTGTGAGCATCGCAGTGACTGAGAACCTGGCGTGTGCCTTGGAGTATTCTCACTGTGACAACCCCCCTACCCTGTATCACCTTTACTAACCTCACCTTGCATTCCCAACCACCAGGGCCGGAGCTGGAGCCCCTCCCATGGGAAACGCGTGTGAGCATTGCAGTGAACATAGCGTGTGCCTTGGAGTATCTTCACTGCACCGTCCTCAACTCCTCTATCTCCCCATCCTAACCACACCTCTCTTGACCCACCAGGGCCGGAGCTGGAACCGCTTCCCTGGGAGACGCGTGTGAGCATCGCAGTGAACATCGCGTGTGCCTTGGAGTATCTCCATCACGGCGTGTCTCCTCCCCTCGTGCACCGCGCTGTGACTTCCTCCAACATCCTCCTCTCCCACGACATGAGCGCCAAGGTGCGAAAATGTTTCTAGTGTTGCTCTGAATGCGAGCTGCACAGCCCCTGACACATGTGAATGACCATAGCAGTGAACGTGGCGTGTGCCTTGGCGTATCTGCACCACGGCGTGTCTCCTCCCCTCGTGCACCGCGCTGTGACCTCCTCCAACATCCTGCTCGCCCACGACATGAGCGCCAAGGTAAGAGTGTGTTGCTCCCTCGGAGCGCCAAGATCCTCAGCTCCTGGCACATAGTGGGATGCAGTGAGCTGCAGTGAACGTGGCGTGTGGCTTGGAGTATCTTCACCACGGCGTGTCGCCACCCCTCGTCCACCGCGCTGTGACCTCCTCCAACATCCTCCTCGCCCACGATGTGAGCGCCAAGGTATGGCAGTGTTGCTGTTGACTAGCAGTGACTAGCGGCAAACGTGGTGTGTTGCCTTGCCTCCCTTGGTGCACCGTGCTGTGACCTCCTGCAACATCCTCCTCGCCCACGATGTGAGCGCCAAGGTGCGTGGGCTCTGGAACTCGGTGGGTGCAGTGACCAGTGAATAGCAGCAAACGTGGCGTGTCCCCCGCCCTCGTGCACCGCGCTGTGACCTCCTCCAACATCCTCCTCACCCACAATGTGAGCGCCAAGGTGCGTGGGCTCTGGAACTCGTGCGGGGAGGGCGGAGCGGGAGGAGGCGAGTGAAGCGAGCATGCAGATGTAGAAGGTGGACGTGTAAAGTGGTACGAAGGGAAAGGATCTTGTCCAACTTTTTTCCCCTTCCTTTGTCCCTCTCTCCAGCTCTCTGACTTCGGCATTGCAAGAGGCAGCGGCGGTGCAACCTCTTCCTTTGAGGAGAACCCACGGCGGCAGCGCAAGTCACGGGCGGGGAGGCGATCTCATCTCACTCTTCTTCAACCGCTCCCTCTTGTAATGATTCTCTGTCATTCCCTCCTTGCAGTTATCAGACTTCGGCATCGCAAGAGGCAGCGGCGGCGCTACATCTTCCTTTGAGGAGAACCCAAGGCGGCCGCGCAAGTCACGGGCGGGGAGGCGATCTCATCTCACTCTTCGTCAACCGCTCCCTCTTCTCTTGATTCTCTGTCATTCCCTCGTTGCAGCTCTCAGACTTCGGCATCGCAAGAGGCAGCGGCGGTGCCACGTCATCCTTTGAGGAGAACCCGCGGCGGCAGCGCAAGTCACGGGCGGGGAGGGCGGAGAGGGGAGAGGCGAGTGAGGCGAGCATGCAGATGGAGAAGGTGGACGTGTATGGGTTCGGAGTGGTGCTGCTGGAACTCATCACGGGGCAGAAGGCCATGAAGGAGGTCCACATCACCAGTGTGGTGAGTCAAGCGGTTGAGTGCGTTACACTTCAGTGCAGTGCGGTTCTGTACGGTTCAGAGCGGTACAGTGCAGTACGGTGCGGTGCAGTGCGGTACGTGCAGTGTGAGGCGAGCATGCAGATGGAGAAGGTGGACGTGTATGGGTTCGGAGTGGTGCTGCTGGAGCTGATCACGGGGCAGAAGGCCATGAAGGAGGTCCACATCACCAGCGTGGTGAGTCACACGGTGCAGTGCGGTGCAGTGCGGTGTGTGCAGTGTGAGGCGAGCATGCAGATGAAGTGAGCCTATCGGTCTCGACATCATCGCGTGTAACCGCGTGTTACAAGTCCATCCCTTCCCATTTCCATGTTTCAGTCACTCCAAAGCTAACGAGCTTTCCTGCCTTCTCTTTTCATTCGGTCAGCTAACACTGCGGTGCGGTGTGCCATGTCCTCCTGCTGTCCCCCCATGCTCTCCCCTCCTCCTCCCTCAGGCCGCCCCTTTCCTGGAAGACGCCCAAATGATGCCTCTCATGGTGGACCCGCAGCTCGGCGGCTACTTCAACCAATCAGAGCTCATCGAGCTCGGCACCATCGCGCGCGACTGCGTGCAAGAAGACACTCTGTTCTCATTTCCATGTTCCATTCAACCTCATTCAACTCAAAGGCTAACTTGCTCTCCTGCCTCTCCTGCCTTTCCTGCCTTTTCCCACTCCGTGTGTTGTCTTTTCCTGCCGGCTCCCCTTGCTCTCCTCCTCCCTCAGGCCGCTCCTTTCCTGGAAGATGCGCAGATGATGCCTCTCATGGTGGACCCGCAGCTCAGCGGATACTTCAACCAATCAGAGCTCATCGAGCTGGGCACCACTGCGTTGCGCGCGATTGCGTGCAAGAAGACCCTCTGTTCTCATTTCTGGGATCCAGTCAACCCAATTGCTAACCGTCTGTCCTTCCTCCCCTGCATTCCTTTCCTTTTCCCACTCTGTGTGCTGTCTATTCCATCCTCTCCCCCACCATCTCTCTCCTCCTCCCTCAGGCCGCCCCTTTCCTGGAAGATGCGCAGATGATGCCTCTCATGGTGGACCCGCAGCTCGGCGGCTACTTCAACCAATCAGAGCTCATCGAGCTGGGCACCATCGCGCGCGACTGCGTGCAAGAAGATGCGTCCAGCCGCCCGACCATGCGAGAGGTCCTCCAAACCATGGAGGAGCGGCTCCGCCTCGACGCGCACCTCTTTGACAATCTCAACGAGGACGATGCGTTGCTGGTAGATGGGTACTCTGCTGCGGTTCCCGCTGCTGTGACGGCCAGTGGGAGACGGTCGGGGGTTGGGTTTGGAAGCCTGAGGCTGAGCGTGGGGGGAGGAGCGACGAGTTCGGGGAGGCGCGGGGAGAGCGGGCGGTGGGGGGCAAGTGTGGAGAGTTTTGCGCAGTCGATCAAGTATGTGCTGATGAGTCCGGGGCGGGCGGGGAGTGGGAGGGGCGGCGCGGGTAGTTTGCCTGTTGATGATCCCCATGACCTGGAGATGTCTTCTTTGCTCGTCATGAATGCTGCTGATGCGAGACGGTAGAGGCGAGGGGTATAGAAGCAAGGGGAATAGGGAGGAGGGAGGAGGGAGGAGGAAGGAGGCAGGGGGCAGGGGGCAGCAGGAGTAAGGGCAGCAGTGGATTGCCGGTGGATGACCCCCATGACCTGGAAATGTCGTCTTTGCTCGTCATGAATGCTGCTGATGCACGGCGATAGAATTTGAGTGTGCAGCAGTGGAGGGAGGAAGTGGTGGGTGGGATTCAGTGGGAAGCAGGAGGGGTGGGGCGGGTGGATTGGCAGTCGATGATCCCCATGACCTCGGGATGTCGTCTCTTGTTGTGATGAATGCTGCTGATGCATGGCGATAGAGGGATTCCAGGTGGGCAAAGGAGAGGGGGACAGGAAGGGAGGTGGAGGCGCGAGGGGTGGGACGGGTGGGTTGCCGGGGGATGATGCGCATGACCTGGAGATGTCGTTTCTTCTTGCGGTGGTGGCAAGATGAATATTGGGGAAGGTAAAGACGCCAGGGCGAGGGAGCAGAATGGCAGGAGGAAGAGGGGGGCAGGAGTATTGGCAGGCAGGAGTGGGTTGTCTGGAGTTGATCCCCCATGACCTCGAGATGTCGTCAATTCTTGTGATGAGTGCAGCTGATGCAAGAAGATAGAGGCGAGTGGAATCAGGGATCAAGGAGATAGAGGCAAATGGAAAGAAGGGGAGCGGGATTAGGGGCAGTGCTTGGCGACCTTCATTTCTGCCGGGGTGCTTAGGAATAATATCGATGGCCTAGAAACGGTTGCTGCTGCAGCATCTTAGGAGTGCTGCTGGGGTGCAGCATCTTAGGAGTGCTGCTGTGGTGCAGCATCTTAGGAGTGCTGCTGGGGTGCAGCATCTCAGCAAATTCCTGGGGTGCTGAAACGGTTACTGCTGCAGCTTCTCAGAAGGAGTGGGAGCAGCTCTGGGCTTGCTGAGAATGATCCTCCCTACGAGGTGGAGTGGAGATGCCTCACCTTGAGGCGCCTCAGATGTAGGTTGTGTTGTGCCCCATGTCACAACTCCCCCCTCCCTCCGCTCCCCCCTGGTGCATCTCAGAAATATGCTCTGCTTTCTCTCGTGTGACGTGTCCCTGGGGGGCCATGCCATGGCTTGGATGTGGTGACTTTTGAGTCGACTCAAAAGTCACCTCGTGTCCATGGTGGGCCATGCCATGGCTTGGATGGGGATGGGTGGGCGGCGGCCCCTTCTGGTGGTGATGGCTTCGACACAACAAGGGGATGGAGGCGAGTGCGGCTGAAGTATTATAGGTCATGATTACCGTACATCTCAAAATCACGAGAGTAGCTTTGCAAGCGAGCGCAGCACATGTCAGAGAGAAAGAGCTTGCGTAACATCAACTATAGTTGTTCGACTGACCAGGGGCACACAGTAGCCACACACTGATCGGTGTAGGAATAAGCAGCTGTGAAGCATGCATGCATATTGCTGGTATCATTAGTATTGTCAAATCTTGTTATGGTACAGTGCTACCTATGACGTGATAGTAGGTATGACGTTTTACTAGTGTCAAATTCATCTGGAAGAAGCTGAAACAGTCGAAGCTGGCTGCTTTGGAACCATTGATTTGACACATCAGCAATCAAATTCCTGTCTTTCCTTCAATTGATCAGGCGGACGGAGCAGCAGCAGCAGCAGCAGCAGCTTGGATTTTTTTCTGTTGTGTTTGCAAGAAAGCCTGTCCTTGCCCCTCCTATCTCATGGGGCGTTTGTAACTGTGCATGATGGGATGGGATGCGAACATGGGAGTCACTGGCGCCATCTCCATCCAATTCCATGTGAGTGAGTTGTGTCCATCGAGTGAGCTCTGCCCGTGGAGTGAGCTGTGTCCACTAAAATTACGAATGAGCCAGTGAGAGTGAGTCCTGTGAGAGGGGCCATCTGCATCCAAGTCCATGGAGTGAGCTGTGTCTTGTTGCTTCACAATCTCACACTCTCACAATCTCACAAGGCTTCACATGATGGGATGGGATGGGAACATGGGAGTTGCAGGCGTCATCTGCTGCATCGAAGTGCATGGAGTGAGCTCTGTCTTGTTGCTTCACCGAACTCACTCTCACTCCCTCATTCGTGCATTCAGAGGTGCCTCTGAAACATCTGTGCGTGTTGGGAGGGAGTCATGGTTACCTGAGCGAGCTCTACTTACCGTATTGCATCCCTGAGCGAGCTCTACTTACCGTATTGCATCCCTGAGCGAGCTCTACTTACCGTATTGCATCCCTGAGCTCACCCCCTGATTCATACCCATGCCATGCCATTCCAGTACGGTATGTTATAGTATGGTGGGGGCACATGAGGGGGGAGTGGGGGAACGGAGAGGGGAGGGCGGGGGGATGAGGGATGGTTAGGACGGAGATGAAGGGGGCGCGTGGGGGGGGAGGGGACGGAGTGATGAGGGTTGAGTGGGGGTGGGTGAAGGGGGGGAAAACGAGGGGTGAGGGGAGGGGGGATGAGGGGTGGGTGCACAGGGGGGGAGCAAGTGCGCGCGGAGAGATAAGCTGAGAACGCAGGGAAATGAGGACGGAGCGGGGGAGGGAGAGGAGAAGGGGAGGGGTTGGTGGGGAGGGGGGAGGGGAAGGAGTGGTCGAGAGGGGGAGGGGGGGGGGAGAGGGGGGGGGAGATGAGGAAAGAGCAGGGGATGAGCTTGGGGGATGAGCTTGTGGGGTGAGCTAGTGGGGTGAGCTTGGGGGATGAGCTTGGGGATGAGAAATGTCACGTTGGGAAAGGGAAAAAAAAGGGGAAAGAGGCCACTCCGCCAGGTTTTCTCTTAACGCGCCTCCAGTAACGACTTTCACCCAATCCATTATTCCTCCCCCCATGCTCCCTTACCCCTCTCCTCCCCACCCGACATCCTGCCTTCCACTGTTTTGCGCAGCGATCAGGCTAGTGTGCCATAAATCATAACGCCCTGAAAGACGACAAAAATGAGTCCGCAAAGTTTTTTTTTTTTCCCTTAGACTAAAAAACTCAAATGAATGTGTCCGCATGTTGACGCTAATATTCCAAATGCAAATGAACGTTACTAATCCGTATGCAAGCCAAAAATTCGCCCTTACCAATGCTGTCGAAAGATCAGTGCCGTGCTAACGTTTGACACTAGCAAGTTACCGCACTAGACGTGTGAAGCGGCGAACACTGAACTGCGTCTGAAGCGCTGAGATCTAACTTGAAATTGTGGGTACAAAAATCAGAGTCTACCGTTTCTGCTACTGATAATACGAAATCAGTAACGACGTGTTGCGACCCACCCGGGTTGGGTCGGGTCGGGTTGACCTGGTCGACCAGGGTTGACCCGACCCGACCCAACCCCAAGGCGACTCGAGAAATCAAAGAATTTCCCGTTGCCTTCTTTGCAAATTCGAAGTAAAGAGAAAGCAAGTGCTCCGCAGGTGGAAGGTGGGCGAGGCAATGTTTGGCGATATTACCGGGTATCTTTTTGTTAAACGAGATACAACCGACATTTGCACGAGAGCCACAGATTTCGCATAATCCGATAACCTGCTCCAGCTCGGCTGGGTTGGGTTTGGTCGGCCTGGTCGACCCGACCTGGTCGAGCCGGATTGACCATGGTCGACCCAACCCGGGTTGGGTTGGGTCGGGTCGGCCTGGTCGGGTAGGTCGGCAGTGCGGGCTTCCTAGAAATTCGGGATCGGGGGGTGGTCGACCCGACCCGGGTGGGTCGCAACACGTCGTAAGCGACGGAACAAGATGTACGGTAATGGGAGTGCTAATCCTCCCCGCCTTGATCTGACAGAACTAGCTACCAGAAGTGGATACTGACGGGTGAGAAGGATTAGGTATGGCAGTTCGAGGTTAGAATTGTGTGATTGGTTTGTTGATATGATATGCCTTGGTGGTTGACAAACAGTTGTCAATTTGAACTGCGATCCAATCTTCCCATTGCGTGTTTGCAAATGCGATCTTTTCGGGCAGAACCACGCGGCTGCCCGTGTTTAGGGTTGGGGCTCCCCGTGTTTAGGGTTGGGGCTCCCCTAATCGCATGCCATCCAGATGGGGTTTATTTTTTTCTGACCGCGGGCAGATAACGACCCCTCAGCTTCTTCCACTGGGGATCGCATTTGCGAACCGCGCTGGCTAAATTGGATTGCAGCTGAAGTTGTCCCCAAACAGTTTGGGGGGGAGACAAACATCCGACGCTGCCGTGGAAACAGCCTTCATCCCTATTGGCTTGCGCAGATCCCTTTAGGATCACATTTGTATTTTCAGCTGCCCAAGTCAGGTTCGTAGGGGCAAAATAAATTGCGAAAACAGCCTAGCCACCCAGAAATTTCCTGACTAACCTTCCGCCGTCCCGCACCTTACGCCAAACTCACGCAAACACTAACTATTATTTTTACAAGCGCCACGTCTACCACCTCCTAGAAAGTTCAAGCCTGCCCTAGCCCATACTTCTTCGATACCCGCGGTCCACCAACCTCTCCCACAGGATACGCGCCCTCAGCAGATTCGTTTGCAAAATAGAAACGCAAACCAGAATAACAAAAGTTAACCATTTTGTGAAAGAGATGTACAGTACTTACAGCTTGGTTGGATTGGGGTCGGCTCAAAATTTTGGGGCGTCTCACATTGCCAACCCATGCGGCTCGGATGATTCCACCAAGCTGAGAATTCTCTCTGACAGCTCAGCCGCCTCCTACGGCTTTGACCCATTGGAACCGTGCCGTTTCGCGTCGCGGTGGCCGCTCCCGCTACCGTACCCAACAAGCTCTCTTTGATTTTGCCGAATTGAATTCTATCCACCCAACAATCAGCGGCACCATGCTTCAGCCTCAGAAGAACGCTGTTCCACCTCACAAGCTACTCGATCACCCCACCTCGGCCATCAAAATCTTATAAAGTCTCAATTATGGCGTTTGTGTTCCGGTTGTCAGAATATTATGCTCTAGCCTGTAGTGGGGTGCTCTGTAGCGAGTACAACCCTTCTAGGGTTTGCTATTTGTATCCCCATTCTTGCTAGTGCAACCCTCCTCT